TACTGTTGATGGAACTTGTGTGGCTCTAGCTACAGATACGTCTGTACTGACAACCATAGCACGTGAATACTTATATATACAAATGTTGAAATAGTGATTGTTTGCCATAGCAACCAAATGACAGCTGTCATTTTTCCTGGAGGTTATAGAATTGAGGAGAGACTTTCTTGTTGCAATTGAAAGCACCCTACTAGTTTTTATAAATGCGTCCTACGGTGCTTTTGGCGGCAATAGTGAACTTTTATAGGCAAAAGAACTAAATGAATCTGAGACATGATAAGTGTGAGATCTATTGGTGAAAGAATAGATATTGTTGTGAGTGATATCCACCTGTAGAGGAAGACTCTTGTCATTTCCTAACCGGGGGAAACACTTCTCTGACATCATTCATACCTGATACTCCATGGAAGACCTCTTCTCATTGTCAAAGCCATCAGTAATCCTTTCAAGGCACTCTGAAGTGGAAACTGCACACGAATCACGTGAATGATCACTCAGTTTAGTGAATAAGGTGAAGCTGTGCTTACTTTGAATGGCCAATGATGTGTGAGGTCAAATAAAAATATAAGAGTTTAGCTTGCATATAATTGGGGAATTAAAGTAAACAAAACTTCACCTTATTCACAAAGCTAAGTGATTCCTCCCTATTCCTTTAGTAAATAAACCCCACTGTATGCTAGTAGACAAAGGGTAACCTAACTTTTATTTAGGTATTAGAGTTAGTAATATTTGACAGAAGATCCATGACAGTACATTTACCATAAATCACACTTTCACTGTTATTGACACACAAAGACTTCTAGCTATTCTACTGTCATCTGTAAAAAATATTGTTTAAATTAAGAGAAAACAGCAAGTGTTTATGAACTGTATTATTTATTTAAAAAATAAATAGTAAGACGTTGATGGGGTCATATGGAGAAAATAATTAAAAGCCATTACTAATAGGAGCTTAGGCTTAATTAAAAAGAACATTTTGTTACGGATAAATGTATGGATCATAGTTCTAATTCGTTAAATATAGTTTACTCATTAATTGGTAATGACTAATAATGTAACAAAAATGTAAATACCCAGGTTATCCAGGTGTATGTTCTGATTGCATAAATCATTATTTGAAAAAGTATATTTGGGCTGGGTTTTCAGTACACAAAACGATACTTTGTATAGTAACGATGTCTTGTAGCATTTTGTTCATTAGAAGTACATGGAATAACGTGCGTTATTTCTATACACTATTTATCGATTTCTTAGGGCAGAGATCCACTCCACCATGATTTCTTTCTATTCCCCAGAGGACTCGGATACTTTCATGCAGGCAGCTAGGTGTTGAAATCAGTTTTTATGATAACTCCTATGGCGAATCACTTGCGATATTTGTGTATATTGATGACATTCATTTATCAGGAGCTAATAAACTTGATATGTTTAAATCATTTTTATAGCACGATTAAGATCATCTTTAATCACCCATCTATTCAATGGAAGTGTCTGTGAGACAAGATGCCTCTATTAAAACGAGAACACTTTAATTTCAGTTTTAATCATTCCCACCGTAAAACTTCACTTGAACTTTAGCTGCTTTTGAAGTCGTGTCCTGTACCCAATAAAACAAATGTTGTAAATGGGAGCCTAATTGTATGGAGGAAACTGTACGCTTGTAGATAATTACATATCTAATTTTGTATGTATGTATCTGTATGTGATTATTTTTCATCCATTAGGTGAGTTGAGTTTCCTCCATACACTCATCAATTCCCTTGACATGCTCTTGTTGAATTATAGGTTCAGCAACTAAGAAGTGTGTGTCATTGCTATAAATTACTGATCTATTGGCGACTCGGCACCTTCTCCTTTGAAGTTTTATTAGGTGGAACACTTAATGCATTGATGGCTAACATTATGTTTTCCTTCCAACCGTTATTAAATGACAGACGAGTCCACATAAACATTACGACCTATTTAAAGATTGCTATAGTTTCCCCTGGAATTGGGTGATTTACTATAGTAGAGGCTATTCATTTTGAAAAGTGTTAACTTACCTAAGTGAATTAGGTGAACACTTTGAATACCCCATCACTTGCAGAGGAAAATGCAAAAAGCAGAATTTTTATTGGGACAATTAAACAGAACAGGAACTGACTTTGCACAGTGCACACTTTTTACACCTTTAGTAAATCAACCTGGAGACTTACCGACTCTTGTAGTGAACTGAACTTGAAATAAATATGTTATGGTTCATCCATATTCCTGTTTCCATGTCAGATCCCCATCTAAAAATCAGTTTATAGTTTAGTTGCATCCAGTCCAGTATGTAGTAAGTGCATCAGGGCTGATATGTGAACCAGAGGAGCAATGTAGCCTGCACATAATGTTGATCTATTGAAATTGTTTTATAGACAAGTGAGGGTGTTGTCTATAGCAACAGGTGATATAGGTTTTTTTTCCCATTGCAGGGTACAGATAATTCCTGATGGGCTGCCAAGGGCAAAATCCCTATTATCCCTTTGTTCCACTTTTCATAGATCATTGCTCTTTTTGATTTCTTGTACGCGTGGCTACACCTAGTTGTGGGTAATATCACTGTAGCCTTGTTCTTCCATGGTGTTCTTGGCTGTCCTTCTCCTAACGCAGATTCTTATATTTTGCAGGACATTTGAGTCCATCTACCTGCACCCTGAGGAAACACAAGACCAACCGCAAGCCCAGAACTCCCTTCACCACGTCGCAGTTGTTGGCCTTGGAGCGCAAATTCCGCCAGAAGCAATACCTCTCCATAGCAGAACGGGCTGAGTTCTCCAGCTCCCTCAACCTCACAGAGACCCAGGTCAAAATCTGGTTCCAGAACCGCAGAGCCAAAGCCAAAAGACTGCAGGAGGCTGAACTGGAAAAGCTGAAAATGGCAGCAAAGCCCATGCTCTCCCATGGCTTCAGTTTACCCTTCCCTATCAATTCCCCCATTCCAGGTGCTTCATTGTATGGATCCGCCTACCAGTTCCATAGGCCGGTCCTTCCCATCCCACCTGTAGGACTCTATGCTACTCCTGTTGGCTACAGCATGTATCACTTGTCTTGAGGCAGCTGCTGAATGCACTGGTCGCATGGACTACTTGATGGGGCTTCTGTTAGCCCCCAACTGCACCAAAGACCCGAGACAGTGCTGGTGGCTCTGTGGATTTATCCTCTTCCATAGACTCTAAACCACATGTGCCTTGCAGCCTGAGAGGGCAGAAAGCTGGATACTGAGAGACACTTTATAGGCACAAGATGGAACACTGTGCTCTCATTTTTACTCCTGTCGGCAAAATCATCTTCTAAGTTGGTTGTATAGATTCCACAATCATATCTTCATGAAATACTGGAAGAATGACGGTGTAAAAATGTAGATAAAGAGAAGAGGGGGAGAGAATTTACCAAAGAGTGGGCTTTTCAAAGCCTGTTAGTAGATAGTTGCAGAATCTGCAATGTTAGTGTGTCTGAAAAGTCACCAAAGCTGGAGCAAAGACATGAGGAGCAAAAATAAAGCAGTTATCCATAGCAACCAGTCAGTTATCATGTGTCTCTCTCTGGGAAAATTAAATCATGAATTTGATTGATTGTTAAGAGTAACAGTTGAAGTTTTGCTCCACTTTTTTTTTACCAGCCCCAGAGGGTGGAACTTAAGGAAGCACTGCATTGTGTATTGTCTTTATCAGTTTGATATAGATGTTTCTTTCAACAATGTTAGTTCGATATTAGAATATAAAAATCAGTTACATTTTGGTTATAGCTTAATATTCACCTTGTGGTGGGTTTACTAAAGTGCTGGCTCAGTAAATATTTTTTTTTTAAAGTCAACTAAGTTGTTGTCAGGAGTTGTTTCTTGATGGATGTTGCCACACTGGTTCGATTAACCAGTGTGAAAACAAACAACCCCATTGGCACACCATCCCTCAAAAATGTGCCTTAGGAATCCCATCTGTTGTCAATGCTAATGGGTGTCTCTTATACCAGTGCAAATCAATCATCTCTAATCTGCAATACAAAATATAACAATGTAGCACAAGGACTTTTTATTGGAAGGTTTATTACATTTGTGCCAGTTGAGCTTACACTTTGTATCGATTAAATCACTGATTTCCTTACTTCTAAGTCAATTTGGTATTTTTTAATTTTAGTTTTTCATAAGGATTTTTTAAAGGGATTCTCCATAAATCAATCTTTCTATAAGTAGAACATGTTGTGCAAATATTTTTTTGTTTTACTGCTGAAACACGAACCACTGACCAGCCTTTCATACTTTCTCATATTACCATCCCTTTGAAAGGGACATTGTGTAAAATGGTATATATTTTATTAAAGAGTTATAATTTCATATATCTCTTATTTGTAATTAAATTAAATTCTCGTTACTTAAAACAAATGGATGTGTGGCTTGCTTTTCTCCAGCACACTTATAGGAATGTGAATGCTGATTTCACAGATATGGATTATGAACCAGGAACTGTGCAGTTGTTTCCTTTTGAGGGCTTTATTGAATAGGCTGATTGTATTTGTATAACCTATGATGCGATGTTAAAGCTATAAAGGATAACATGACAGTTCTTAAATACATTGGGTGAGAATGAGGAAGAGGTGTGTATGTTAACTGAGCCTAGTAAAACATATGCTAGAAAAAAATCTATTTTTAAAATTTCCCTCACATTATTAGTTATATTGTAAAGCGCTGCACAAATTGTTGGCCTATATAAATCCTGAATAATAATAGTAATAATAATCAAGGTGAACGCAGTATTTACTTGCATTAACTTGGCTGAGTAAACAGTCTCTGCTACTTTAGTAAATAAACTATCTTTTTAAAAAAGGGGGAAAAAAGACCATGCCCTTGCATGTGACTGGATGTTTGAAATGAGCCACATGGATTGGTTACTGTACACAACCCCATAGTCTTGTATATTTTATCCTTTTGGTAAATAACCCAGCAAGGTTCATTTTATAAAGACATCGACATTGTTCATTTGTATGTTAATGTACCATAGGTAATACATTAAAATTATGTTCACTTTAATCATTCAATCAATCATGTGGAAGCAAATAAACTTTAAAAAAAATCCTTCACACATGATTGAATATTCAAAGTGAATACAGTTTATTAAGTTTAGTAAACATTTACTAAACATAAACTCTCCAAAGTGAACAGTCCAGGTTCCTTCACTATTTCGATTCCAATGTGTTTTTATACTGCCAAAGGTATACCATATTTAACTAAACATGGCTCATTTAATATGACATAACACAGAGCTAATGTGGACTAAAACACAGGAACCAATCAGAATTCAGCTTTCAAAGGCATTCGGATTAGAGTTTTGTAACTGATAGCTGACAAGGGTTAGTGCACAGTTCTGTGTTATGCTTAGTTTTTCCTTATTTTATAACATTCAATAGACGTAATAAGATGCATATTCCAAACGTATATAACAGAAAAATCGTAGATCTACATATGCCAAGGAACTACTATGCCCAGCATGACCTATTCACTTTGTGGCTGATCATATAAATCTGGCTGTGAATTGTTGTTCTCTAATGACAGAAGAGCTATCACTGCAGAATGAGGATCTCAGTATGCAATGTATTTTTGTTATGCTGTATTTTGACAGTTTACTACTCACTACAAAATTATTGGTGAGCTGCCCAGCATCTTCTATATGAATTTTAGGATGTTCACGTGTGACTAGACCTTTAGTATCGCTGCTTTATACTTAACCATATTTTTTTTTTAACATAAATGGGCTAGCAGCTTACAAAAATTAATAATGCATGCGGCAATTTCTGAGCATTGAAGCGCACAGGCCTGCTTTTAAATTAGTGGCATCTCATGTCTATATACAAATAACAGTATAATAATAATAATAAAAATAATAATAATAATGTCTAAACGTATTCATTACTGCATGTGGGTATGCTTGCTTTGTGCTGAAAATGCGTTTAAGTGCGTTAATTGTGTTTTTCTTGTAACGCATGATTTTGAACACACACATATCTGAATAATGTTTTCGCCCTATTACCTTTGGTAATATTCAAATATTTATTTTTGTGCATTCAAGCGTCGGTACTGCGGATCCCTTGCAATGAGACTGTACAGTTTAGCAGAGAGAGCAGCAGAAGGGTTAATCCTGATTAATTACATTTGGGCTATTTTTTACAGTAGGGTCATAGATGAGTCTTTTCACGCTGAGGCACATTTTTCATGCAGTTTGTATGCATTTATGTGCATTTTTATGTGTTTATATGCATGCATTTTGTTTTAGTAATGTTGCTTTGAAAGACAAACCTTGTCCCTTTTTCCTGTTATGATATGCAGTTTTCTTCTTCAAAACAAAAACACGGTTGGGTTAAATCACTAGAGGCTATTTACTTTGAAAAGTGTGTGATGGTAAATAAAGTGAACCTTTGTTCATTTACAATACCGAATCATGTGCAACATGGTTTCCATTGCCTCCTTTGATGTGAGCTCTGAATGTGGTTCCCTCTCCTCAGCCTCTATGATTTGGAGAATGACAGTATACAAGACTCTGCCGGGTCCCCCTCCAATTCACCTCATGCTCTAAACATACTGTTTGTATTTTGTGGTTTTGTAACTTAACCACTCCTGAAATGCTTCTCATCATCTCAATTAAAGCTGAAAAAGACATTTATTCCTCCCCGCATCACCCGATCCCCAATCAGCTTCATTTTTTGACGTGATTAGAAATGCAAATGATTAAAAGGTTTTCATCCGCAATGCATTCTTCTTTGAGCCAGCAGCATGTCAACTCAATGATGAGCTCACTTACAGCGCCCTATTCGTTATTATTAGATTTAGCAATGATGCACTTAGATGACATGTTAGTATTTAAGTACAGTAAGGTACAGAATGGATATAAGAAGGCATCTTCCCAGAGATCTGTAATCCTCCTCTGCCTGGAGGGGGCCTCTAATATGCATCTTGTCAATGATGAGGACAACAAGAGTAAAGGAGAACAAATAACATTTTCAGTGGCCTCCATTTGACAATATTGCCTTGGACACATATGTGGCTGTAATAGATAATCGGCAATAGGCAGGCATAGCAATGTGTTATTCTAAGAGAATATATTATCTGAAGAACCCTGACAATTAAACGTTATTGGAAGAGCCAACAACAGGTATTTATGACTCAGTGAGGGTCTACCTGCAGTATCACTAATTCTCCAGGTAACATCTCCAAGTAATTGGCATTGAACACAAGGACCTGCTACAAACAGGAACAACAAAGCTGCTTTCTCTTCATTACAGACCGCGATTAAATATTATTTTTCAAGACATTAACTAATAAGTAAAAATTATGAATTAATAATATTTCATATTAACTTGATATTAACCAGAATATCACTGATATATTACATATCTTAGTGATATTCTGGAGCAATTTACTTTTTATTTTTATTAAATACTTCACCTCAAAATGTCCAAGTTTTCCATCATTTATGATATTTAAAGACCCAATCATTATAAGGCTCGAAAGTGTAACAGAGAACTCACATACAGGTGAAACTCAAATAATTAGAATATCATGCAAAAGTAATTGCAGTAAGTGCTGCAAAAGGGGCCTACACCGAGTACTGAGTACATATGCATGCTTGTACTTTTCCGAGGTCCGATATTGTTCTATGTACAATCCTTGTTTTATTGATTGCATGTAATAATCTACTTTTTTGAGGTTGTGGATTTGGGGTTCTTGGGGTTTTCATGAGCTGTAAGCCATAATCATCACAATTATGACAAATCACGGCTTGAATTATCTTGCTTTGCATGTAATGAGTCTATCTCATATATTAGTTTCACCTTTTAAGTTGCATTAGTGAAATAAATGAACTTTGCACGATATTCTAATTATTCGAGTTTCACCTGTAAAGTAAACTACGTTGATGGAAAGGGGATGGACCATATCTAAAATAATTACCATTAAAGCACACACCTGAAAACATACATTTTAAGGTTACTGTATAGTCTAAAAATAAAAAAATGACATTAACATGAGCCCATTTGCTTGTGCCGAGGCGGTTGCCGATTAACACAAATACAGGGTGTCCTATAATGTATTAACACATTTCCATTATCTTATTATAACCTTGGGAGGAGCTGGTATTCTCTTGGCGTTGGCTTGAAAAAATATTTCCACTGACACCTTTATCAACCTTTTTAATTAAAAAAATGCAGTTGTATGAGATAGACAGAGGTATTATCTGAACGGCTGGCCCTGTATTTGTAAGATGAATTGTTTAACAAACGTTTGTCTAATTAGATAAGCAGTTGTTTTTACACACACACGCACACTGCACTCTGTAGTGCAAGCTGCAACACAGACACACACACCTTTCCTGCAGAGGATGTGAAGGTGCTCACAGATAGTAAAGGGCGGTTGGATGTGCCCTTATACACTCTACTCCATATGAAAAGTTGTCTGATCCAACTCTGGTCCGCCAGTCTGCACAACAATGTTATTTATATCTGTTACATCCTCAGCTGGCCCCTGTCATGGAGATCTGGCAGTCACACAGATTAACACTGCACACTG